TCTTATTCAATTTCTCAGGAGTCATCATAGGTAGAGTCCCTTGATACTGAGAGTCAAGACAATGCGAATCCATTTCTGATTGGTTAACCGAATTTTAGGCCCTCACAGTGTCACAAACGAGAATAAAGATTACATTTTCACCAATTGCTAAGATTATAATCTGGAATGGACCGAGGAATTTCGGGTTCGACAAGGATCAAACGGAATGAGAGAAGGAACGGAGAAAGGAATTTAAGAATGAGCCGATCAAAGATTACGAAAAACGTTCAATTTGTGTTATCTTTATTCCCGTTTGTGACTCCATGAGGGGTGTTGTCTTGACTCTCAGTATAAAGGGACTCTAATCATAGGCAAATCAGCGTCGACAACCAAAAGTAACTTCTCCACTCATGCCGCAATCACACGCTGAATTTAGCAGCTGAATGTGGAAATCAACAGTCATCGCCCAACGGCTGAAATGTAGCAAATTCGAGTTATCTTCATCCAGATGTGCATCAAATCTACTCGAATAGTTCAGACAAATTCAACGTTAGTCCGATGGTTGCTGGGAATTGTTGCCGAATTTTGCGCGTGATGACTTCCACAATCAAGCCACATTCAGCTCCCAAATTCAGCGTGTGATTGCGGCATCAAGGAAAGACAGCAGCACGGAATCTCCAAAATATGGTGTCTACAGGGTTGCTACAGTCAGGGAAAACCGGGAAACGTCAGGGAAAATGACGAAAATGTCAGGGAAAATTTGTTAGATCACCTTCATTTGCTGTCTCAAATGGATTTAAGATTTTAAACAAGGAATTTTGTCCGAAAACTATTCTCAATCAACCATCCGTCACATCTTCAATTGTCAGAGTGCTTCACCAAAATGTGTCAGAGAAATCAGGGAAATGTCAGGGAATTTCATTTTCTAAATTCTAAAAAAAATAAAAGAACAAAACAAAACAGCAACAGACGAAGAAACGAAAAAAATTATCAGAAAGTGAAAGGCAGCACGTATCCGAAGAGCGCAAACGGTCGTGGAATCCGAGGGTCCGGTCGCGGCACGTGGTCGGCCGTTGCTCGGCCGACAAAAGAGCGTAACTGCCTTTAGAGATGAGCTCGGGATAGCACTGAGTTATTCGAACGACAGGGTTCACCGCGAATTGCGGTTGCGTCGTTTTGTCAGGAGGGCGGCGAAGTGCAGTGTCGCGTCACCGCGTCTCGGTTCAAGGTCCCCGTCTCCCCGTATCATGTTCCCTCATAATTGGATTTCGGGCCCCTCGCCCCCCCCCCTCTCGGGATCGAATCGAATCGGAGCGGGTAATTAAGTGCGTGCACTTTTCACTCGAGGGGGCGGGGCGGGTCACGGCACGGGAGTCGTCGCCCGAACCGAGGAGGAGGATGAGCGGTACTAAGGAGAAACGTCGTATGTGCATCTGGATGTTGCCAAATTTCTTCCCATGGAATATTGAAATAGGGTGTCTACCGTCGGCAGAGTGTCTAGCATCAGGAAAAGCCGGAAAAATGGAAAGTATCGGGAATTTTGGCCGATCAGGTTAAAATCAGGAAAATCGGACGTTTTATCAGGAATTTTTCTCAGTTAGTCAGAAAATTTAGTTTCCGCATGCATTTATGCAATAAATGTAGTTTTTACGAGAAAAATCAGGATAATATCAGGAATTTTTAAGATGAAAAAATCAGGAATTTTTTATAAAATATTAGGAAAATATCAGGATTTTTCAAAATTAAAAAATACTTGAAACCCTGGTCGGTAAAAACAGCAGGGTGTCTAGCGTCAGGATGTTCCTGATTCTATCACGATTTGAGGTCAATCAAGATTTGGACCGCGTTTAACAGAAAGGAATCCACATCAGCTATTGCCAATTTTAATTGGGCAATTTAATTTTTTACGAGGAAACGTTTGTGCTTCCGTTTGAAAATTTTAAGGAATTTGCTTCGCACTATGGAGAAAATTAACCGAAATTTGCACTAAAATCCGCACAACTGTTTTCATTTAAAAAATTAAATTAGCCAATTAAATGTGGCAATAGCTGATGTGGCTTGGTTCCTTTCTGTTTAACGCGGTCCATTTAATCCCGATTTCATCAGGATTTTAGGAAAAATCGGTCGTAAAATCAGGATTTGAGAAAAGTCGGCCATCCGCTCATTTCCCGTCAATCATCCATTATCCGTCCGTCAATTTTTCGCCGCAAAAAATCAGGATTTGATCAGGTTTCGAAAAAATTATGAAATCAGAATTTAGCAGTTAAAAATCAGGATTTCCCAAAATGAAAAAAAAAAACTAGACACACCGTATATCGACAGGTCTCTCCCAAAATTTCGCGTTTTATCGAAGGATATGTGGCAACGTCGGAAGGCTCATACGTCGTTTCTCCTCAGCACGGCACCGCCGAGCGTGAGGGGGGGGGTGCGGAAAGGTTGGCGTGGCAAGGTCAAGGTCGCGCCACCACCCTCTAATCACACCCCTCGGCTTCGCGGAAAGGTCGATCGACAGGTCGGTCGGTCGTAGGGTGGGATTTAACTGCCCCCCTGACTCTCGGGGGTGAGGGATGGAAATCTGGGGCAGTGGCGTCGTGGCGATTTAGTCGCCCTATCGGCGTCAAGGAAGGGTTGGGGTGTTCGGTGTTCCACTCCCAGGAGTTGTCCTTAAATTACGTCCGTCACTTTTTTCTCAGATTTTTTGCCCTCGAAACTCCGTCCGGTGCCAACTCTGGAATCTCTCTCGAAATTGCTGAGCCCAACCCAAACGAAACACCCCCCCCCCTCCCTCTTCCCGCTAAATATTAAAAGCTTTATATGAACTCGGAGGGTTGGTTTTGAGCTCTTGAAAACTAAGGAAGAATGCCGTATGAAAATGGTGAAGGGTTCTCACCCTCTCTCTACTCAACTCCTCTTTTTTATCAATCCCTCACCTTTTTCCATGTTTTTAGTTTTTTCTTTTCCACACCTCTAAAGTCGGTAACTAGTCATCTGTAACCTTCTCTCTACACTATCACACTAGTCTAAAGTTGGCTGCAGGTGCTTAGACACAAAGCCATAAAACAACAGAAAAAAAAAAAAAAAAAAGAATGCCGTATGAACATTCGAGCGTTGCCGAATTTCCGCGAGTTGAACATGTATTTTTGAAGAAACTTATGCATATTTTCCCCTAAAAGTTTCAGATGTTTTAGATTAAATTGCGAGCAAAATCGTCTGAAAAATTGGAGGATATATATTCACAATTTTCCCTGTGTAAATTCGTCTTTTAATGAAGGAAATATGGCAACGCCTGAATGCATGTACGGCGTCAGTGTAACATTTTCGAAATCGAGTTCCCTACCAATCGCTAACAACACACTTTATAACAGCGAAATTCATCTTATTTTCATGAAATGAGACTAATGAGAAAGCCGTAAGTGCGCCAAAAATGACGTAGTTTCAGACTAAACAGCAGTGAGTGACATTATTCCTCCAGAGAGCCAATGAAATCAGTGCTTTCAAGTAAAGTGCCGCCCTCTTCTGCCGATTTCTAACCTGAAGATGTGTTTATGGGGTGTCCAAAACGCAACCACGAAAGCATACAGGAGATAGCACGCACGACAGTCTTGCCTAACATGAAAATGAAAGATACCCCTTTTATGCAATTGATATAAAATCGGTTGGTTTTTAATCATCCAAACGATTTGTATGAGTCTTTCGGGTGATAAGTGGCAATTTGACATGGAACGGAGGCTCCTTTCAATAAAATTTTCCGGTCAGAAGCTTCTGAGCCCGTCCTCGTATATGCCCTCTGTACTACAGTCCCCGCCGCGCCATCTTAACATCTGATAAGCTGTATTCCGATAGTGACTTGACGCTTTCAGTTTACTCACACAATCAACCTCTAACTCCTCGCCATACCGCCAGATAGCGCTGCCCGTTTTTAGTGAGTTTTTAAACTCAAAATCGTTATCCCAAGATCGTTTTGCTCAATGATGCAAAATTTCCCAACTCAAACCGATGCATCTCAATCTGGTTCACTTTTTGCTTGATCTGAAACTTGTCTCCTAGCTCCGTTGGAGAGCGGGTTAGCACAGTCGGAGGCCATCCCAGTGAGCGTTGGGTGTTGGAACTTTATTGGCTGACTTTATTGTGCCTCTAATTAGCGAGGGATCTTTTGTTTTGCCGTTATCACTTTGCTTCTTAGCTATCCTTCCTCAGTGATTCGGGATTTTGCCCGGTCCATGGAACCCCTTTAAGGAGGATCAGGGCAGGCTTCTCCGAATGCCCTCTCCGCAGCGTAAGTATGAAATATGTGATGTGCAAGCAACTTCGATCTCTCCCACATGAAAGTTAAGTAGCCCCTGTCTTTGCGACTCGATAATATGAGTGTCTTCACAGATGCGCTGGAAATCGTACTGCCGTGCTAAGGAAGAACGCCGTACGAACATTCGAGAGTTGCCAAATTTCCCTCGATGAAATGTTCATTTTTGAGGAAAGTCGTGAATAATTTTCTCTGAGATTTTCAGGATTTTTCGATAAAAATACAAACAAAATTATTTGCGAAATTGGAAGATGTATATTCACAAATTTGCCTGAAAGTTAGTGGTTTGTCTAAGGAAATTTGCCAACGCCTGAAGGCTCTTACGGCGTTTTTCCTTGACACGACAGCAATGGAGTACGTTTAGCGCAAGTAGGAGCTATATCTGGTTCAGCGTAGGCAATTAGTCAAATCCGGTATTATATCAAATGCCTGGGAGATGGTCAAATTTTGACGGTTTATTCCAAAACCAGGAAATATCTTCGAACTCCGAAAAGTTAAGGAATTTGCTGTGGAGCCTTAAAACTCTTCACTCCAGCCTTGAAATTGTACCATTTTCTACCGCATTCATACGCTCTATTGGCGAAAATTAGAAATCCTCCCCTTAGTTCTTGAATTCTAATTAAACCTTCGAAATCACGAATAAGTCGTAGGATTTTGAAATCCAAGAAAACTTGCAACCTCGGTTTAGTTTTTTGCATTATCAA